GGCCGCAAGGCGGGAAAAGTCGGATGATGGTGATGTGTAATTAGCACTGTGAGGGAATTCCAAGGCCTGTGCATGAAAGAGGCAGTGCTTTCTAGGTTTGCAATACACCCTCAGTTGCTAGTCAGCTCGGAGGGCGTTCTAGTCTTTCACGTGAATAGCCGTTGAAAGGATGAAAAGACTGGAGGCGAGGATCCGAAAGAAGGCTGGGAGAACAGAGTGGAGTCAATCTAGAAGCGTGTTCATGTACGATGACGGTCTGTGGGTAAGGCCTCAGAGGAGTCCGTGTTCAACAACCAAATCTCAATGGGTTAAGCTTGATGTAACGATGCCTGCTGGAAGTCATACACCGCGAAACACACCCAGACAACCTGGATACAATGCCTCATTGCAAAGTGCTCCATTGCAGTCCAAAGCACCTTGAATGATCATGTCTACCACGACTCATGATCGCAGACATTGACTCATCGACCAGCATGTCTTTAGAAGGGTATCTCCCTGATATGCCTGTACGTACGTTTCTCCAAAGAGAAGACCCGGACATAAACGAGCGGTGAAGATAACCACGTACCATCTTTTCAGAAGAGGTTGGAGATTGGGCGTGTGTATGTCTTGGCACCGTCTTGCTCCGCGTCAAAGCGGTGTTCTCCGACCAACCACCGGCTTGCGATGTGCTGCTGGCTTCTTATCCTGGATCCCTTTGCCTCTGTGTTGTTCAAAGAGGCACCAAGGCATATCCCTGACCAATTGCCAGCTTGACATTGTACGCGTGGAGCAGTCGCGCAAGCTTTCTATGCGACGCGTCGAGTCTAGGGGATTCCCAAAGTCGCCATGCACCCGGCTTATAGCTTGCCGATTATGCCTAGTTTTCTAACCTCATGATCACCTAGACCACATGATCAGACAGTGTACGTTGTGTCTGGCAATCGACCAGCGAGTATGGGTGGTCGATTTTGGAGGGGATGGACGCGGTGCGAGGTCAAAGGTCGGGCCGGACTGGTATATCTACGTGAAGATGTGTCGAGCTGCTCAGATAGAACTAATAAGGTTGCATCGACAATGGCAACATCAGGCAGTGCGGCTGCTTGAGCGATGTTGTAGACCGCGTTCGCGTAGGAGACAGGGGGCGCGTTTGATGTTCCAATGTCATTGATGACTAAGTGGCCTGCGGCTCTATCTCGGCCCGGAAATAACTCCATCTCCGGCGTCCAGATTGTCTCCAACTGGACAACACTTTGAGGGAAACACCTCAAGATCAGCGATCAAGAACATGAGAAATAGGTGCAAATTAATCATAACTCCAGATATCCACAGCTTAAAGCCACCAATGCTACAGCTGGTCTGCCTCAGAGCTCGTCGTGGCCCTCCGCATTCACCTCACACAACCGCCCATCCTTGGTTTCCACCAACGCCTCACTCCCAACGCATCTGCGGCACCAAAGCACGTTCTTTGGATCGGCCCTCCTCTTCACTCCCCTCAACATCCAATACCTTTCGCCCCAGAACGCTTGCTGCCATACCGGCTCATAGCTATCCCCTTCGTTGAAGTATGCGCCAGTGTCGGGGCTGAGTTGCCGCAGTGCCTCGGTTTTTCTGCGTGTGATATCTGAATACACATCATCGATGGTGGCTTGGGATGCAGTGTCACCGAACGGCGATGCGACGATAAGGTGCGTGAGAGTGTGCCGCCATGCGGGGTTAAGACTGCTTTGAAGAGGGTAGTAAGCTGGTTCGTTCGGTGCACCAATCATGTGGCCGATGAGGAGTGGGTTAGTTACTGGTCCCTATGGGTATGTTAGCCAAGATCACAGATGTCAACCAGAGCTGAGGTCCTTTACATTTGGCTCAGAGGCATCATTAGTGGGCCCGATCTTCGAAAATACGATCGCCGTCAGGTGTGGGTTCGCCAGACTCTCAGCACTGAGCAATCTCGACCCATATGCCGAGCCGCCATTTGCGACTTGCTCGTTCGTGAAATTGGCTTTGTGCATCTCCAGGTACGTATCCGTGTGCGATAATATCGACTGCCATTCGAAAGCCTGCCTCCGCTCCTGCAGATATGCTTCAATAGGTTCCATGAGTAGCTCAACCGCTCCGCTTGGAGCGTTGTAAAGTAAGAATGTCCAGGAGAATGATAGAGTGGGAACAATAGGTGGTCCAACAACCGAGTAATATCCTTGCATGCCGCCTTCTTTTAGCCGCTGCATCTCTGCGTGGAGAAATCCTAGGAACCCGTAGAAATCTCTGTCTCTGCCCGAGTCTTTGATTCGGACTTGGAAGGTATGCGCAGTAGTTCTCGGTGTTGGGAAAGTGCGAACAACGACTTCAGTGATAATGCCGAATGTGCCGCCACCTCCGCCCCGTATAGCGAAGAACAATTCTTGGTTCTGACATGGGTTGGCGAGGACGACTTCACCATGCGGTGTGACAATGGTGGCCTCAAGCAAGTTGTCGGCCCCCATCCCGTAGCTTGTCGAAAGCGGTCCATGACCACCGCCTGCGAGCCACCCAATGAGCCCGACGCTGGGGTTGGCACCTGTTACAATCGCCATTCCATGCTGAGCTACTTCTTCTTGTACTTCAATGTTCGTGTGGCCGGCTGAAACGCGCACAGCGGTCAATGGACTCTCGGAAGGGCAAGACGCTGGACTGAATGATGCGACGTAATCGATGCCGCGCATATGGTGCGTCCATATACTTAGGCTGCCATATCCAGTGCTGCGACCTTGGTATGAGTGTCCAGTCGCCTTAACGACAACGCGAATATTCCTTGCACTTGCCCAAACCAAAGCTGTGCTGACTTGAGAAGCAGTGGTAGCATTCACTACGTAGGCGGGGTAATTGCCGATATTACATCCCTGCACTTCAGCATGTGGGTTACCGGTGATGCTAGTTCCGTTTGGAAAAATTGGATTGCAAGAGTCGTTTGCCCATATAGGGTAGTCGATACTGACGGGATGCGCGGCGTGATATGACGAGTTAAACCACTGCGACGTCACGTAGTCACAGGCTTCTCGATCGAACTCCGGTCTCGACGGGTAACAGACTGCTCCCGGTGGAACGCTGCGGATAAGTGCGCCATGAAGTGTCGTGTTAAGGTCGCTCCATTCGTTGATAGAAGGCCAACAAGCATCACCAGGTGCCTGGTATATGCATCAGCCGTACTCAGTGGATGTGTGATCCCAACTTACACATTTGCACGACTGGCCAACCGCGTCGCTGTGCGATGAAATGCAGAGAAGGGAGAGAAGGGAGATACATAATCGCATGTCTTTAACGCTCCGAGCAGGCAGCGCAGCGTATGTCGAGCTTCAAGTTATTCGTCAAGTCCTCCTCAACACCTAAAAGTCGTATAGCAATTGCAGAAAACTCTACCAACAGAAAGGTCAGCGGATTAGGCAAATGTAGTTGAAAATACCACGTAAGATAGTGGCCTAAGACGAGTGAGAATTTTCCGTTGCTATCAGGCTGGTCAATTCTCGAATGGCGCAAGAAGATAATTGATACCAGCTAGCGCTGCAAAGGTGTCGATAGCGAGCCAACAAAAGAAAGTGATGAGTATCGTAGAAAAGAAAGTGAGATGCGCAAGTTCGACAACGTTTGATGTTCAGTAATCCATATCCATTCCGTAAATCTGGAATGGCTGACAAGCCAAGCCTCGGTGAGGGGCAAAACACGTGATGAGCCCCGATTATATCGATCCTTCGTCTTGTCCTAAGAAGGCTGTGGTTGCGAGTAGATATCGTATATGCTAGATGCCCGATGAACATGGACATTTTCATCCAAGAGTCGTGTGCTGTAGAGAGCCTTTCTTCTGCTCCCTCCGATGTGCGTAGCTGGCCTGCCAGGCGGCGCAAGTGATGCTAACATCGTAGCCACTTCGATCATGGCAGAATCCACCGCATTTGGGAATGTCGCTTGTGCAAGATGACATGTGTCCTTTTAGCTCCATATTGTCGTACTTCCATCATGCCAGCATGTGGTCGTAACGACGCCGCGATGACCTCCTAGAGAGACGTGTCAGCATCGAGCACCTGTTGTCGCATGAGACGTACATACCTCGAGACCTATCTCAAGCAGGCCTTCGATGCTTCTTACTCAGTCTCCTCCGCGCGCGACTCGGCTTGCGCACTGGTACTTGCTCGTGGCTCGGTGCTAGAATAGGTCGTTCGGCGGCATGCATGTCGCTACCGGCTACACTTGCCCCATCCCTCAACGCACGACGCTCCTCATCCTGAACCTGAATATCGAAAAAGGATGTTCTCCAGTTCGTCTGTTCCTCCGGCATACCTCCCGAGCTCCTCACGAGCACGCGCCGCGATCGCTGCATGTCGCTGACGTCCGGCTCTCTCCGGAACAAAGCATCGCTGAAGATGCGCTTAAAGAACTTGGGCATGATTATTCGCTGTACTTTGCAAAACAAAAGATGGATATAGCCGCAGGAAGGATGTTATGCAGGGACTCGCGGGATGCGACAGGCCTTATCAAGCCTGTGTTGATGTTTGGGTGGCGAAGATGAGGGCGGCAATTGCGGGGGCCGATACCCCTGTTGCGAGAGGATGGGCAGCGCGATTGGCCAGTATAAGAGGGCCGTAATGTTGATCTTGGACGGGCGTGACCAAATCTCTCCTGGACGCGTCAACGGAATTCACTTCCCGTGCCTTCGCCCGCTTCACTGAAGATGATTGTTTTTCTTTAATGCGCTTCCAGCGTCTCGCGCCTAGTCGCTCATATCAAGCTCACGATACACGCGCCCAGAAGAGCTATTACCTACAACAAGTGTCACCGCGCGCATCAAGTGTTGGAGCCAGCTACAACGATGTCACTATGATCGGCAGAATGAGGTGTTTACTAGTACCTGAAGTTCTAACAAAGCGCCTGGATGCGGACGAACCCCAGTTCATGTGACGACAAGGAAGCCCGAGCACCAGCCATCACATTTACGACTGGCTTCGAGCTCAAAATATACCCTCCGGACCCTGATTCCGTCCATCGACGCTGTTTCATCCCCGACGCCTTTCTTTCTGTTCTTCTATCCTCTTCATACACTCCTCTTCTGAGCAGTCGAACCAATCACCAATGTCGCTAATGTACCACCTAATAGGGCCTCCAGCTGTCCACTGGTCGCACTCACAGCCTGGTCGAGCGCATGGTCCATATGTGCGATTGCCATAAGCTTGGGTACTTGAAACCAGGAAGCCTTGGGTCTTCAGACGATAGACCACCGGGCAGATTGCCTTGAGGTACTCGGGCCAGTTGTCGGATACATCCCAATGAAAGGCAATGTGCAGTTTGAACCCCTCCTTCCGTGCAACACTTTGTTCTTCCAGCAAGGTAGAGAGGGACCGACATATCTGTCGAATGTGTACTGCTTGACTAGATGGCCTACTATGTCCGGTTAAAAAAGACAACGACGCGGGACCAATGACAACTGCCAGCCTTCGAAGGAAATCGCATGTGCGGACCGAGGGTGACCAGCTGTCATATAGGACCCCATCGTCGTCTTGCAATAGTGGCTGCAGGAGCTTTATATCGACCGAGAGATAAGCGCTCTTATACCAGACTTCTACAGCTTCGCGCGCAAATTCAGGGCCGACCTCTTCTTCCAGCATCCAGTATGGCGGCTCATATGCTTTGATCATAGGTACAAACTCATACAAGGAGTCGTGGGGATGCTTGGAGTTGTTGTCGACAATCTCGTACGGTTCGTCCTGACTTCCGTGGTATAGCTCTCCGCGGTATAGCTCCGTGTAGATCATGTCCCGGAGCTCACGTGGTAGTTTCTCCAGAACCGCGTTTGGCAGCTCCTGTATAGCCTCTCGACACTGCTGGTCTCTCTTCGACAACAAGAGTCTATAACTGTCAGTATGTATGATTATGCCTGTCCGATCTTGTATAGCTTACGTGCGTATGGCAAGACGTTTCGCGCCCAGCAACCGTAAATCATCACTTGCTAAGCGGGCTTGTTCGTGTTCCCTGTCTTCGGTCGTGTGTATGCTGGTGGCCAACGTCAGTCAGTTGTCCATTCATTAGATGTCGGGTCGCTCACTCTTCATCGACGTTGCTAAGAGCCGCTTTCAGGCCCTTAACGGTATCGGGTATCTGGAAATCGGACAGAGGCATGACTGGATCAGCGTCGTGGCGTTGCCTATGAGTTCGATGGATGGGGAAGAGAGGTCGCAAGGTCGCAATAGGTACCTGCGTGTTTGTGAGAGAAAGTCGGGACCTCGCCCAATCATGGGTCTGCACTAACCCAGAAAGGCAAAGCGTAACCTGACCCGGTGCTTTCATTTTCACTCGGAGCGTTGCGCCCGACAGCGCATCGTTTCAAAGCACTGTAGGTGAGCTAATGCAGATATCACAGGCTGTCAAGAGCCAAGGTGCGATGAAATAGAAGAGACAGTATCCCTCATTCGAAATGTAAATTACTAGCCCTCCACCGCGCGCAATCCCGCGCCCACCTATCTATCTTTTGTCGTTTATTCCGCATATCGGCAACACTAAAGCTGTCATATCCTTGTACCTGACCCCAGAACTTACGCTTTTCCACCCCAGAGGAAGAAGCTGGAGCTGCGGGATCTATTGTTGACGCTAATTCGGTAGACGAGTAGGAGTTCTGACTTGCATTGGGCTTGCTCAATAGGACTGCTCCCTCTGGGATGTCGTCCTCCTCGGAAAGAGGCTCGGGTTCATCTTGCGCCGGTGTTGCTACGTTGGTGTCGACATTGTTGTTTGCGGGTGGTGCTGACGGTTGAGCGGCTTCTATTCTCTGTATCCCACCATCTTGCGCGCTTGCAACACTCCCAGTGCTGCTTTCATCGTCACTAGAACTCGCATCATAGAACGTATCTATCGTATGAATAGACGGCGGCGTGAGAACACCCGCCTCAACATGACGCCAATTGTAAATGCGTGCCCGGTCCTTATCATTCCATGGCTTCATCATCGCCTCCAGATCATCGATATCCAAATATGGGTTAACGTTTGCTTCGATAAGTTCGTCCGGAATGGTGAAAACGTTCACATCCATGGCGCGTTTCTCTGCCTCATGATACGCTTTCTCCGCAACACGCAACGCGTTTATGAGTTCTTGTCCCTTTTTGATGAAAAAGCGGGGGAATTGAGCGGCAAGTTCACCCTCAGGTTTGGTCGGGTTCTGTGCGCAAAATCTAAGGAATGTAAGTTCGTAGCATTTTCGGTGTTTATCGTGTGCGTGGTCAGCTTCGCTGAAAGCCTTCTTTGCTGCGAGGAGTTTGAGTCTTATCTCATCCTCTGCTGTGAACCGAGTCATGGTGAGGTCAGGGGGCTTGCTTTGGGGAACGTCCGCATTCCGGTTTGTGGTATCCTGCTTTGCCCTGTTACCGGTGTACAGCACCATAGCCATTTCGTTCCCAGCCAACGGCTGCTGTGCATCTTCCGCTGCCGTGGGACGAGATTTCCTTTCCGCCTCTTTTGCGCCACTAGCTTCTTCACCTGGTTCAGACTCCGCGCTCGATGTTTCTCCATCTTCGCTTTCCCCTTCTTCTGGCTTGAAACCTGCTTTGATGAAACCAATATGGTGGTGAACACATATGTTCCACGCGATTTTGTACCATGCCTCTTTCGCGTCCTGAACCTTGCCCTCTAGCTCTGCTTTTTCCTTTTCGAGCAGCGATAGCTCCTCCTCATCCTTGAGTAGTTCCTCTCGTGCTTTTGATTGCATGACGACAAGTTTAGGGTCTTGCTGCTTCACTAAGCCAAGGTTGATGCGTTCGACATTTGCTAGACCCGACTTTGCGGAGTCGACTATCTGCTGGAGGTGAAATATTTTGTGATTAATTGCTGGGATCTCCTCTTTAAAGCGATCTTCGAGCTCCCCGAATTCAAGTTGTAGCTCCACAGATCTGAACATTCGTTGGCCCAACTCGTGCGAGAGCAGAAGCGCCATGACTGGCTTGCCGTCGACAGGAACCTCAATCAAGGTAGCCGAGCCGGCTTTGTAACTTTCTGCGGACTCTTCATCCCGCTCTGCGACCGGCCAAAGTCTCGATCCCTCTGGCAATGGTTCGACTGTTCTTGGGATGGCATTTTGTTCCTCTGTCCTCTCCGAATGTTGAATATGGGTTGGCGGGTTCTCTGTCTCAGGGTGATTCGACTGCGTGCTCGACACTTGATCGCCGTCTGATGTGGCCATTGGAATTGCAGGAGTGCAAAATGTTCGATTTCCGAAAACGCGTTACTGCCTAGAATGCGCGACTTGGGCCAGGGAAGCATCGGGCTGAAGTTCAGCGGATTACTCAGTGTATCGGGAATCCGGAGACAAAGGCCGGCCCACCGATAGCCTAGTGGCTTTGTTGCCATCTTTAAACGACATGTATGGTTCTTTGTTTCGACGCAAGGGGTTGGAACTCATTGTTGACGCCGGAAGGCATCTTCACGAGCTCAGATTGATGCACATGCGTGGTGAGTAAGTCGCTAGACTCGCGTTTGTTCGCGTCGTTCGAAAGTGCCAACGTTTGTTCTCTTCAGGATGCCCGGTAGGGTTCACGCTAAGATGAGCTATCCGCAGTGCATACACTCGTGGTTCATACTCGAATTTCGTTCGCATTTTCGCGGCAACCGTCATTTTTGTGCATGTACTGTTTCATCGCTAGATACTAGTGTTGTCACAACCACTAGTTGTAAGCTTGATACGTGAACGTTTTCCTATCGTATCAAAATCCAAGGAAGTACGGCTGGAAAGACCGAACAAGTACGTAAGGTTTTGGCCATAGCGTGGTCTTTTGTAGTCTCCGTTCGAGACGAGATGTGCCAGCGTGTTAATCCAGACTGAACACGATGTTGGTGTAAGGAGGTCGAAAGTTCGAAACACAATCCTGTTCTGCAGGCTCTGCCTGAACTTTCACTTAGCTAAGAATGTCGCACGTGTTATGGCTATTAGCAATTGCTGTTGGTCGCGCTTTGACCATTGTTTCTGTACGCAATGAATGCATACGCCTAGTCCAATTCAGCGACCAATTCTCTAAAGGTTAACAACAGCGGTCGCAATCCACTCCGCCCGCATCGGTCTTCCAACTCAGCTCAACTACGCGTTGAACGGTTTGTTAGTCTTCCGCGCACAAAGAGTCGACGACCCAGTTGGCGTGTTGCTGACGCTTTCTCCAGCCAGCCACCGATATCGTTTACTTGCATCGACAAATCCAGAGCGCGTCGATTCGATATGGCTAAAGCAAAGAAGACGAAGAGAAGTCAGCCGCATAGGGGACCAAGGTACCTAGCCAATCGGCCAGTTGAAGGAGATGGACTTCGTGAGTAATCGAATTTGTTGTGAATGTGACAGCGCTAAGTGTCGAGTAGGTTTCACGCAAGCAAACCAAGGTCACACACCGGCGAGGCTTGGCCGTTATACGGTGTCGACTCCAGGGCGCACTGTACATCCACCGGCTACAAGTACTGCTGCTAGGCACCCCGCCGGCCGTACCACACGCGATGAGATTGTCAACCAAGCTGAACCATCCGAAGTAGACGGAAAGTCCCTCGCGAAAGCAGTCCGCCAAGAGATGCAATCAGTCCCGGGCTGGACCAAGATCAAGGAGAAGGCCGTGGAAGAGGAGTTCAACAAGATCAAGTCCGGTATGATGATCAGGGAGCTCTACTCAGAGAAGACCACCAACCCTCATGCTAGCCCCGATGATTCCAGATATTTCCCCACCCCCGACGGTCTTTACCTGTTCAAGTCCGCGCCCTGGATCGTCTTCTCGGTGAACAAAGAGACATGGACCTTTGACTGCAGGAGGATGACTCGACAAGACAAGCTGAGTGATGCGAACTTGACCGCAGCTCAGCGCGAGCAGTATTTGCGAGTATTGTATCCGGAGGGGCTTAGCAAGTCAAACGCTCATGGCCACCCTGTCGTCAAAGCCGAATGGTGCAGAGATCCGAAGGCAGGCAACGAGATATCAGTCATCAACCTGGACGAGACAAGAACCATTCATGCTACTAAAGACATGGACGTCTACGGCGCTCTGGATCCGGCGTCCGCGATCATCTTTCTGAGGGCGTGCTCGAAGCTCAACTTCAAGAAGGCGCTGGCTTCCGAAGCAGAGCATCATGATATTGACTCGATCAATCCTGTCACTGCGGAGCCCGCCATCGCCGATCACCATCCGCTAAGCACACACGATGTAGCTTCCGTGGATCCAGGATGTGGTAAAGCGGTCGCGGGCAAGCCCGAGCACATGAAAGATGCACTCATCGCTTCAACAACCCAGGAGAACTTCATCAACCGTACCACAATTGAAAGCTGCAAGAGCTGGGTTGGTGACCAGATATCCTCATCACTACCTGCAGGATCCGTCCTCGGCGCTACGGAGGCTCCAATGCATGAGAAGCAGATGATCGGCGCGTCTCACCGACCGAGCGCTTTGGAAGATGTTGGCATGAGCTGCGACATAGAAAAGACCTCATCGCTGGCTCTTGAGCTGTATGCTCCCTCGTCGATCGTTTCCGGGCTATCCAACCCAGTTGAAGAGTTAACTTGGGATGACGAACCCTTGACCGAAGCGGAAATCGCAGCGATACGCTCACTGAAGCCTAAGACCATCGGACAAACGATTATCGCAAACCTAAAGGCTTTGGCGTTTGATGCACGACTTCGTTGTTACAGTGATGTCGTCGATGCGGACTTGGCCCGTAGCTCGGCCGAGAAATATCGCGAGAAACTTAAAGCCATGGAGCCAGATGCGAGGACACCCATGCACGTCCGCGAGTACAAGGAGCTTTGGAAAAGGTTTCTCTTGTTAGACTCTGGAATCCGTGGCCTGCAAGATGTGCAGGATGTGAACATGTTGCACCAGTTTGTTGTCTCTCGGATTCTCAAAAACCCACCGGAGGGCTGCAACTGGAACCAGGTGGCGCCTGCTGCTGGCATGATCTAGTGGACAGTTTGGCACGAGATTATGGTCGGTAACATCGCGCGAGCGGGCTGAGAAGCCTAGCTATGGGAGTCAGTATGACGTCCCTGAATTTCATGTCAGCGATTTCATCTAGCATGCACTAGCATTGCAACATGGGTAGAGCACGGGTCTGTAGAGCTTACAAGCTTTCAAGCTTCCAAGGTGCTGAGCGTACAAGCTTACATATGA